CTGAACCCTAAACCCTAAACCCTGAACCCTGAACCCCGAACCCTAAACCCCTCAACTTCATCACCAAGATCGCCCAGGCATGTGTGCGAGGCGCGCAGGCTTGGGACGAAGGTTGGCATCATTGGAAGGCTTCAACCCGAGAGGCACAATGAACCCCTATTGCTATTGGTTTAGGGTTTAGGGTTTAGGGTTGAGGGTTTAGGGTTTAGGGTTTAGGGTTGAGGGTTGAGGGTTGAGGGTTGAGGGTTTAGGGTGGAAGAAGCCGGACTAGCTTGGAGGGTTCCTATGTCCCAAACAGGCCAAGGGCCCATACTTAGCGGAGCCCTAAACCGTAAACCCTAAACCCTAAGCCCTAAGCCCTAAGCCCTGAGCCCTAAGCCCTGAGCCCCAAACCCTAAACCCTAAACCCTGAACCCTAAACCACAAATCCTAAACCCTACACAAACCCTAAACCTTAAACTTACAAGCTCTGATCTGATGCCCTGCGCCCCTGAAAGCCATGAACCTGGAGCCCCAAAGAGTCCCAAGCCACTAGAGTCCAAGACCCCTAACCGCGAACCCCCCGCAAAGCCCTTGAAACCTCCAGGATTTAGATTTCTAGGGTTTAGGGTTTAGGGTTTTGGGTTTGGGGTTTAGGGTTTAGGTTTGGGCTTCAACCTCCGAGTGAACCTCAGGAAGGGTTTAGGGTTTAGGGTTTAGGGTTTAGGGTTTAGGGTGTAGGGTTTAGGGCTGAGGGGTTTCAGGGAACCCCAAAAAACCCCTTAAGCCCTGGCCACCCTACGCCTGACAGGTCGCCCGGTGCCGTCGGCTCGCCCTAGGCGGCCGGGACATCCAAAGAAACGGGCTTCAGGGGGTTTATTTAGGGTTTAGGGTTGTAGGGTTGTAGGGTTTAGGGTTTAGGGTTTAGGGTTTAGTGTTTAGGGTTTAGGGTTTAGGGTTTAGTGTTTAGGGTTATAGGGTTATAGGGTTATAGGGCGACAGGGTTATGGGGTTTATAGGGTTATAGGGTTGTAGGGTTATAGGGTTATAGGGTTATAGGGTTATGGGGTTATGGGGTTTTGGGGTTTCAGGGTCTAGGGTTGGGGGCTACAGGGGTAAGGGTTCAAGGTTCATGAAAGGCTTGTAGGGCTTCGGAGTCTTCAGTCTTCGAGGGTTTAGTGTTCGTTTTGGTTTGCCTTGGCCTTCCCGAGAACCATCTCAGCGGATACACCCTGACAGATGTGTTGTGGTGTTTTCAGGCTTTATCGGATTCAGAGTTTGTAGGCTTCATGCTCGGGAATGAAGGGGCTAGGTCTAGGGGATTAGGTTTTAGAGCTTTTCGTTTCAGTTTTCAGGGATGTTGCTTTGTTTTAAGGATTGAGGGCGCAAGATTGGCCAGGATTTTGGGTTTAGGGTTTAGAGTTTAGGATTTAGGAATGAAAAGAAGGGCCCGCCCCCACGGAGTGCCAGAAAATGCACCCAACACCGTGACGACCGTCTCCAAGACCATCAAGCCAAGGAAGATGAAGAAGAAGAAGAAGAAGCAGAAGAAGCAGAAGAATAATAATAATAAGAATAATAAGAAGAGTAAGAATATTAAGAAAAAAGAAGGAGAAGAACAATAAGAAGAATCAGCAGAAGAAGACGAAGAAAAATAATAAGAAGAACACAAATCATAAAATGTAGAACAACAAAGGAAGCTTAGGGTTTAGGGTTTAGGGTTTAGGGTTTAGGGTTTAGGGAGGCAATGGTCGGCTTACCCGTATCGCACTGGCTGCGGTTTTGGGCTTTAGGGTTAGTAGGGTTCAGGTTTAGGACTGAATTTGGTGGTTAGATTTCAGCTTTAATAAAGGTCTTGCCGCCAAACCCTCGACCCTGAATTCGAAGACCGCGACCTCAAACAAAGAGACACAGAGGCTTTTAGGGTTTAGGGTTTGGGGTTTTGGGTTTTAGTTGGGTTGTTCCCCCTTTTATTAACAGTAATCCCCATTGAGGACTGTTTGTATATGGGGCAACATCCCTAAACCCTAAGCCCTAAACTCTAAACCCGAAACCCCCCCCCCCCCCCCCCAAAAAAAAAAAAAAAAAAAAAAGGGGGGGGGGGGAACATCCCAAGGTTTACGTTTTAGAGGGTTGCTGGCAGGGACGTTTCTTGTCGAGCTCTTCTTGGAGAACGAGACAGAGGCCGCAGCAGATGGCAGGGCTTCTAGGGTGTGAGGGTTGAAGAGTTTAGGGTTTAGGGTTTAGGGTTTAGGGTTCAGAGACATGGTCCCTTAGTATGGGCCCTCAAATAGGGACCCTTTAGATACCCCTTATGTACGTTATGAAACACCAGGGCCCGTACTTCAGCTCCTTTTAAGGAAGGTAAGGGACCAGATTCAGGGACCGTGTATCTTCCCCTAGACTAAAGGATTAGGATTCTAAGGCAAGTTACCCGAAACCCCAAACCCTAAACCCTAAACCCTCAACCCTAAACCCTCAACCCTAAACCCTAAACTCTAAACCCCGCATAAAGAGGTGGCCTTGCACCGGTTTGCCAGCGCCCACCCGTCCTGCACCGCGCGCGAGGGGCCTGGGTGGAGTTGGAACCTTCCAGAACCTACGACAGGGTTTAGGGTCCAGGGTTTAGGGTTCATTGCTAGGGTTCCGGGTTCAGGGTGTAGGTTTCTAGGGTTTAGGGATTCGGGTTCCTTAAGATTCCTGGCTTTTGATTTATAGTGAGTACCCACCCAAACAAGAAGAGGCTTTATGGGAAAGTGAAAATTTTCGGGGTTTGCGGATTGAGTGGAGTGGGGTTTTGGGGGCTCAGATGTTTTGGGGATTGTCAGTGAGCGTCATGCCATAGGCAGACCCCACAGCCCAGAGTTTAGGGTTCTGGGGAAACCCCCTAAACCCTAAACCCTAAACCATAAACCCTAAACCCTAAACCCGAAACCCTGGTGTTTTTGTATCTCGAGCCTTTTGGGTCAACCTTAGGCCCTGAGAAAAAGAGAAACCCGAAACCTTATCTGCCCTAGGCCCTGAAAGCAAAAGCTTCAGTTCTCAACCCTAAGCCCGAAACCTTTTCAGGCCTAAACACGAACCCCTAAACCCTGAACCCTGAACCCTGAACCCTAAACCCTAAACCCTCAACCCTCAACCCTAAACCCTAAACCCTAAACCCTAAACCCTAAACCCTAGACCCTAGACCCTAGACCCTAGACCCTAAACCCTAAACCCTAAACCCTAAACCCTAGCTCTCTGCTTAGGCCCTGCAGAGCAGGTCGACTGCGAGTCGCAGGTGTCCGGCGCCCAAGTGCGCTGGCAGCTCATCAGGGTTAGGGTTTAGGGTTTAGGGTTTAGGGTTTAGGGTTTAGGGTTTAGGGTTTAGGGTTTAGGGTTTAGGGTTTAGGGCTTAGGGCTTAGGGCTTAGGGTTTAGGGTTTAGGGTTTAGGGTTTAGGGTTTAGGGTTTAGGGTTTCAAAGCTCTACTGACTTCTCAACCAAGGGAGCTTACATGGGCACCAGACCGTGCCCGTGGCCCTTCTCGCGTTCCAAGGGTTTCTTCCTCTAAACCCTAAGCCCTGAACCCAAAAGCCTAAACCCGAAACCCGAAACCGTAAACCCTAAACCCTAAACCCTAAACCCTAAACCCTAAACCCTAGACCCTAAACCCTAAACTCTAAACCCTAAACCCTAAACCCTACAATTCAGGGTTTTGAGGTTTAGAGGCCTTAGGGTTGCTACCCTAAACCCCAAACCCTAAACCCTAGGATGCCCCGAAACCCTAAGCCCCAAACCTTAGATTGCCCGAAACCCTAGACCCTCGACCCTAAACCCTAAACCCTAACCCCTAACCCCTAACCCCTAACCCCTAAACCCTAAACCCTAAACCCTAAACCCCTGCTGATTTCGGGTTGTTAGACTTCTTGGCCTACCTTCGCTGCCGCAGCCGGAATTCGTCCAGCAGGGTCTTGGAGGGCTCAAGACGAGCTCCCAGCAGACCTTTGGGGGCTTGCTCGAGTTCAGTGTAGGGTTTAGGGTTTAGGGTTTAGGGCTTAGGGTTTAGGGTTTAGGATTTAGGGTTTAGGGGTTTGAACATCTTGAGGTCTGCTTCCTGTAAGGTTGGGAAGACAAAGCGTTTTTGGGGTTTTGAGCATCCACCGCATAGGAGAGTTGCGGGCTCTCGGCCGCTTTTTGCGGGTCTGGACAAAGTAGTTGGCTTAAAGGATGTTGCCCTAAACCCTAAACCCTAAACCCTGAACCCAAACCCTGTAGTGGAAGGGAAGGGTACGACATCCAAAGCCCCGAGCCCTTAGCCTCTCCCTCTTACCCCTTTTCCAGTTGCAAGTCTTCCCCATATACCATAGTATACTATACTATAGTCCATTGTACTATACTATAATCTACTACAATCTACTACAATCTACTATAATGTTCTCACCCCGCTTTGGGAAATTCATGTTTGGGGGAGCGGGACCCTAAACCCTAAACCCTAAACCCTAAACCCTAAACCCTAAACCCTAAACCCTAAACCCTAAACCCTAAACCCTAAACCCTAAACCCTAGGGTTTAGGGTTTAGGGTAGGGGGGGGGGGGGGGGGGCAAAGGCTTGAGGGCATTCCGGGCACGCCGAGTTCCATGAGCGATGGCGAGGATGAAGTCGGCCACGAGAGCCTTGCCACTTGGGACCTTGCTTTTAGTGGGTTTAGGGTTTAGGGTTTAGGGTTTAGGGTTTAGGGTTTAGGGTTTAGGGTTTAGGGTTTAGGGTTTTTGGCTCTTTAGGGTCTAAAGTTCATTATAAGCCCTGAACCTTAAACCTTGAATGCTAGATGGAGTCATCTTGAGGGTGTATAGGCTTTTGGTGATCATGGCTTACTGTTTCAGGGTCTAGGTTTCTCGGTAGGAAATCAGGGATCGAGGCAGACGGCCCAGGGCATGAGAGCTTCAGACTTTAAATGAGCTTCACCTCATAGAGAGCTCAACCGCTTGCGAGCCAAGGCAGCGCGCCACATCTTCCGCACCCCCACGCGGGAGCCGCCCATGCCCACGGCCGCGCAGCGCGCGGCGCTGCTGGACGGGGTGGCGGAGAGCGAGTCCACAGCGACCCCCCGCCACGCGGAAGCCGCAGATCCGCCAAAGCCCAAGGTCGAGGTGGTCCCTCCAAGGACCTGGAGCCCCACGCCTGTCTTCAGGCCCTTGTCGCAGTCCCTCAGCCCATGGTCAGGATCTCTGTTTCAGCCGCTGCTGGCCCCGCCGCTTGCGAGCTTTGTACAGACACCAGGGCCGGTGCCTGCACCTTTGCCTCTGCAACAGAGTCCGATCTTCAGCTCGCACCGGCACTGCGCCCCTCCCGCACAGCTTCCATCCCCACCATGGGCCTTGCATGCCAGGCCGGCGCCGGCCTCGGCTTGGAGGATCTCGCAGCAGGAAGCACACGCAGCCGCGCAGACAGCACACCTGAGGCACGCCAGCAGCGCTCTGTGGCGGAGCCCCAGCCCACAGTCAAGCCCTGGCTTGGGCAGAAGGCTTTGCAGGTCGCTCTCACCGGACCTGCGGCAGGTGACAGGAGAACCCAGAGAACCCTTGTCCCCACCGCCCCCCTTTGCCAACATCCTGTCCCGTGGGATCCCGGCAAGTGAAATCCCCCGACCACCACCCACACCACCACCCCATCCGCATCCGCCCCATGTGCCACCTCCGCCTCCCGCCCCTCCCCCGCCTCCTGCGCACAACCTGCCGGCTGCGGATCGGACGCCTTCGGAGAAAGCCCCAGAGCCTTCCCCACCCACGAGGCCGGGAGATGCCAACTTCTGGTTTATGTGCTAAGCAGGTGCCCAAGATCCTGGTAGCATTTCTTGACGGGTTGAGAGCATGGGGTTTACTTGATTTGGCCCCTCTATACTACTATTTTGCTTAAGAACCCCCCCCCCCCCCAAATAAAGACACAATCCCTATGAGGGATTATTATTTTTTTTTTTTTTGGGGGGGGGGGGTTCTTCAGCAAGTAGTAGTATGCGAGACGCGAAGACGCTGCCGGCCCCTGGTTTCTTAGTAGGGAATGAGGGAACTAGGGCCCTAATATAATATATATATATATATATATAATTATAATTATATAATTATATATATATATATAGATAGATAGATAGATAGATAGATAGATAGACATATATATATATACCCTTTAAGGGATCTATAGGTACCTCATTCCCTCATTCCCTACTAAGAACCAGCCAGCCGGTGGCGAGGTTGGCGAGCTCCTCCTGGCTGCTCAAGCGCAGCCGCCGCGCTCCGACCGTGCTGGGGCGCGAGGCGGTGCCAAGCGCGGAGAGGCGGGTATAGGGTTTAGGGTTTAGGGTTTAGGGTTTAGGGTTTAGGGTTTAGGGTTTAGGATCCCCAAACCTGTAAACTCTAAACCCCAAACCCTACCAAACCCTAAGCCCCAAACCCTAAAGCTTTTTGGGCTTGGTTTCGGGTTTTCGGCAGTTCTTCGGTTGGAGGGCGATGGGGGGATGACGCGCAGGGAGTATTCTGGGATGTCTTGAGTGTCTTGGCCGTAAACTCTGAAGAAACCTGCTTGGAAGTTCCTGCCGGTCGCAACCTTCGAGTACCCTGGAACTTGCACCCGAAACCCTAAACCCTAAACCCTAAACCCTAAACCCTAAACCCTGAACCCTGAACCCTGAAACCCTAAACCCTAAACCCGAGACCCCAAACCCACACTCAGTCCCGAACTCCCTGTGGCAGGGAGTCCCCTGGACCAGCGGCCGCCAACGCGCCCGACGCGCTCCCGGGCCTCAGCGTGGAGGCCATGAAGATAGAGCTGAAGAGCTCCTTGCCTGAAGTCGGGTTTAGGGTTTAGGGTTCAGGGTTTAGGGTTTAGGGTTTGGGGTTCAGGGTTTAGGGTGGAGGGTTGAGTGTTGAAAGTTGAGGGTTCATCTACAGGGCATGGTCCGTGCTCTAGATTCCGACGTGCCCCAAAACCCTGAAGCCTACTGCAATTCCTCTCTCTTTCTGGCCGAGTCATCAGGAGCCTGGCTTTCTTCGAATAGGGACTGTGAGAGGGAGCTATATTTTTGTAGAGACTTTGGGGGTTAGGGGTTAGGTGAATTTCTGCCTAATTTGGGGAACTCAAGTCAAGTAGGCCATAGATGGGTGTTGAACCAAGAAATTGGGCATACCAACAGTTAAGGGGCGTTAGTAAGCTACCATCTCTTGTGGTCTTAAGGGTATAGTGAAGTGGGGCTTCAACCCTAAACCCTAAACCCTAAACCCGAAACCCTAAACCCTAAACCCTAAACCCTAAACCCTAAACCCCAAACCCCAAACCCTAAACCCAAAACCCTAAACCCTTTCAGGGTGTAGAGAGGCAAGCGCTTTCTTCAGAGTTGGCCAACACCCTCAAGCCCTCAAGCCCTCAAAGACCTCTAAGTCCTAAAAGCTTCAAAACGCCTCAAACCGCTCAAAAGCCCCAAAACACCCTAAAACCTTCAAACCCCCCAATACCCTCAAAACCTAAAGCCCTTAAACCCTGTGACCCTCCTGAGGGTTGCTGGTGTGCCAGGCCTCAACCCTGCACGGCTTTTGCAGGGTTCAGGGGATATTGTTTAGGGTTGAGGGTTTAGGGTTTTGGGGTTTAGGGTATCTTAGGGTTTAGGGTTTATAGGGTTTAGGGTTCCCGCTCTGAGGGCGAGGCCGCGACTTCGTCTTCTGCTTCTCCCGGGAGGATCTTCACCGTCGCCTGCGCGAGGGCATGCTTGAGGACGTCGCCAGGGAAGCCGCACACCGGCGACGTGAGCTGGAGTATCCCTAAACCCTAAACCCTAAACCCTAAAGGCTAAACCCGAAACCTTAAACCTTAACCCCTAAACCCTAAACCCTGATTCTTAAAACCTTAAACCCTAAACCCTAAACCCTCAACCCTAAACGTAAGCCCCATAAAAAAAGCCCTCAGCCCTGGTTTGTTCTCAGAATCTGTCGCTTGGCCGAGCCTCCTCCTCGTCGAAAAGGGGCGAGCGCCTCTGAGGGCGTTGCCCGGAGACTCCAATAGCGTTTCACCCTAAACCCTAAACCCTAAACCCTAAACCCTAAACCCTAAACCCTAAACCCTAAACCCTAAACCCTAAACCCTAAACCCTAAACCCTAAACCCTAAACCCTAAACCCTAAACCCTAAACCCTTCATCATGGAATATGGTTTCAAATCAAGCCCTTCAGCCCTAAATGCTAAACCCTAAGCCCTAGACTCCAATAGCACTTAATTGGGGATTCATTGCCCAAATTCAGTCCGAAACCCTAAACCGGGGTCGAACTTGAACAAGATTTAAACTTATATGCCTTGATCCCGAAAAGCCCTGTGAGCCCGCAGACATTTACATTCTTTATGGGGCCCCGGAACCCACCCCGGTAAACCCTCAACCCTAAGCCCGAAACTCCTAAACCCCTAGTTTCCGAAAGCCTAAACCCTAAACCCCCAAAACCCAAAACCCTAAACTCCCAAACCCCGAGCCCTACACCCTAACTTCCTGAACCCGAAACCCCTAAACCCCGAACCCTAAACACCAAATTCCTAAACCCTAAACCCTGAACTTTAAACACCTAACCCCCAAATTCCTAAACCCTAAACCCTAAACCCTAAACCCTAAACCCTAAGCCCTAAACCCTAAACCCTAAACCCTAAACCCTAAACCCTCCTGGAGTCTCCGGGCATTCGGCACAATGACCCACTAGGCCTGTCGCTCTTTGGAAGTTCCAGGCAGCCCTGAAACCCTACTTAAAGGATTGGGGGGCTTTAGTAAGTGGGGTTTAGGGTTTAGGGTTTAGGGTTAGGCAACTATGCTTCCAATTGCTTGAAACGCCCCCCCCCCCCCTCCCCCCCAATTTAGGTACTTCTAGCCCTACTTACTAAGTGCCCCGATCCTCCAAGCAAACCCTAAACCCCTAAAACCTCAAACCTCAACCGCACCCTTAGGGTTTAGCATTTCGGGTTTAGGGCTAGGGTTCGGGGTTTAGGGTTTAGGGTTTAGGGTCTAGGGTTAAGGGTTTAGGGTTTAGGGTTCAGGGGTTCAGGGGTTCAGGGGTTCAGGGGTTCAGGGGTTAGGGTTTCAAGGGCTCAGATTCCGAGATCCTAAGCTGCCAGCCCGGCTCTCCCGCCCCCACCCACACACACGTACACGCGCGCGCGCGCGCGCTTGCCCTAACTGAGAATAAGGCTTATGTACTAATTTGTCTTAGACCCCCCCCAAAAAGATAGATCAAAATCTTCTTCCTTAGAAGGGCAATATTCCTTACTTAAGGGCAATATGGGGACTATTATCTTATGTTTTTTTTTTTTTTTTTTTTGGGGGGGGGGGGGGGTTCTGAAGCAACTAGTAGTTAACTGAGGGTGTGTCTTATCTTGGGTCTGGGGTGAGGGTGAAGGGCCCAGGAGCCCTACAATGTGGGCATTTCCCGACACATGGGTGCCCTCAAGATGGGGAGGGGGGGGCGGGGGGGGGGGGGTTGCCCCAAAGTTAGGGTACTTCTTTGGGAAGCCTAAGCCCTAAACCCTAAACTCTAACCCTAAACCCTAAAGCCTAAACCCGAAACCCTTTGCCAGCTAACTGGAACTGCCAACGTGCGCGCCATGCAGAGACTCCTTTCGGTGAGGCTGCAAAAAGGTTGCATGAGTCTGTGGAAGCTGGGTTTTGGAGGACCCCTAAACTCTAAACCGTAAACCCTAAACCCTAAACCCTATATAAACCCTAAGCCCTAAAACCTAAACCCCAAACCCGAAGCTCTGGGCCCGTACTCCGGACTCCGGTCACTCAGGCGCTCGGCGCCGAAAGGCGATGATGACCCTGCGGAGGTGCGCTTTGGTCTGAGGTTTACCCCAAAACCCTAAGAACCCTAAGAACCCTAAGAACCCCAAAAACCCTAGAAACTAGAAAACCCTACAAACCCTGTAATGCCACATAATTAAGCCCTATAAACCCTAAACCCTAAACCCTAAACCCACTCTTTTCGGGACTTGCTGGGTCTTGGTGGGTTCCCAATATCGTCCCTTAAGGGGATTCTCGAGCGGGCGGCGCCCAAACCCTAGACCCTTGCGCCTACGCCAGCACCTCCAGCGCGTTTGAACTGTCCATGGCCAAACAAGCACCCTCAACCCTAACCCCGAACCCGAATCACTGAAACCCCCTTTAGGGGCATCCTACGGGCCCTAACTACACCCTCAAGAACCGAACCAAACCCAGAACGCGAAACCGCCGCCTTAGGGGTTAGGGTTCAGGGTTCAGGGTTGAGGGTTTAGAGACTAACCCCGATGCCCCAGCTGCCCTAGACACCCTCACCCGTCCATCTAAGGGTAGCTACATGGTCCCTGAATATGGTCCCTTGATCACCTTCAAGCGCCCTTACCTCTAAGCCAGGGGTCCCCTACTAAGGGGCTCAAACCCTCGTGAGTCCGTCCCTGCCTTGCATTCCATATTGTACAGATGGAGTTCTCTCATGTTGGGCCCCTGTTTCGGATCCCTCACTGTATAGAACATGGTACCCTCAAAGCCTGAGGTCCCGAAACCCTGAACCCTAAACCCTAAACCCTAAAACCCTAAACCCTAAACCCTAAACCCTAGACCCTAAACCCTAAACCCTGAAACCTTGAACCTAAATCCCTAAATTTAAGAGCCTCCGGCTCAAGCCGCCGACCCCGCTGGAGCATAGTTGAGAGGTCTAAACCCGCTCGCATGGCCATCCCAGCCTGCTCGGCAGAGTTCTGTGAAACGTTTGGGGGGGGTGGGGGGTAGCACCAGGACAAGCTCAAGCCAAAAAGGCAGGTGGGTGGGGGTGGGGGGGGGGGGGGGGGGGGGTGGGGGTAGGGGGGGGGGGGCGGGGGGTGGGGGGGGGGGTGGGGGGGAGGGGGTGGGGGGGTGGGGTGCCCGAAAACGCTGATTTTGCTGAGGGCGCCCCTACCGCCCTGTGCTGAGCCGCCTGTTTACGCTGTGTGGGTGGCGCGGTCCACCGAAAAAATTGTGCACCGACACGAAAAAATTGTGCACCGACCCCCCCTACCCCCCCCCCCCCCCCCCCACCGCGTTTTGGGGGGGTAGGGAAAGAGGGAGGTTTTCACCTCCTCAAACCCATCCAACACGCCGCCAGGGTCGGCGGACCCTAGACCCTAAACCCTAAACCCTAAAACCTTACACCTAGATCCCCAAACCCTAAACCCTAAAGCCCTAAGCCCTGAACCGCGCGGAGGATGCCTCGGAGTCCTCGGACAGCGACGGGGCGCAGGTGCGGGCCCTGAGGTGCATTGGTGACATTGGGGTTCTGGGGCTTGGAGAGCCATACTTGGAGGTTCATGGGTAGTGTTTAGGGTCCAGGGTTTAGGGTTTAGGGTTTAGGGTTTAGGGTTTAGGGCTGCTTGGAGATTCATGGTACTTTAAGAACCCAATTCTAACTGCACTTATAACGCACTTAGTAAGCCCTTTAGGTGCCATAAATGTGGTTGTAATTGGGTTATAAGTATAGTTACGATTGGGTGAATAAGTCCCATGAACCTCCAAGTACACCCCAACACACTGGAACCCAGAAATTCGCTGAAACTCTAAGTCCTACAAACCATAAGTACATAGCCGCCCCGCGCCAAGGAAGAAGGCAAATCGCAGCTATCTTTTTCTAGGGCGCAGAGTAGGCCCTTATTCCCATTTTTTAGGGTTAAGGTTCCCTTATGAGCCCCAAGAAAAGGTCCGAGAAGGGCACAAGGTCCCAGGCAGGTCTCAGTCTGGATGCTTCCGAAAGTTCAAAGTTTCAACTCGACATCCCATTGCGGCTCCCTGAAGCGAATTTGGCAGCTCCCTTTAAACCAACAGGGGCACGCTTTTTATTCATACTCGTAGGTTGCTCTTGGTCTAGTGTTTTGGGAGAAGGGCCTGCCACGCCGAGAGAGCAGCCGGGCTTTTGCCGGAAGCAGAACTTATGCGATGGTTGTGTTTCCTTACCGGTGAGGTATACGTTAAGAGAAAAGTGTCCCTTGTTGCCGAAGCGCTAAACCCGAAACCCTAAGCCATATGATT